GGGACAATTTAGCACGGCCAATCCACCGTAACCCGTACATCCCTGGGCACTACGGGACAATTTAGCACGGCCAATCCACCCTAACCCATACATCCCTGGGCACTGCGGGACAATTTAGCACAGCCAATCCACCCTAACCCGCACATCCCTGGGCACTACGGGACAATTTAGCACGGCCAATCCACCTTAACCTGCACATCCCTGGGCACTACGGGACAATTTAGCACAGCCAATCCACCTTAACCCGCCCATCCCTGGGCACTACAGGACAATTTAGCACGGCCAATCCACCCTAACCTGCCCATCCCTGGGCACTGTGGGACAATTTAGCACGGCCAATCCACCCTAACCCGCATATCCCTGGGCACTATGGGACAATTTAGCACGGCCAATCCACCCTAACCTGCACATCTTTGGACTGTGGGAGGAAACCAACGCAGATGCGGGGAGAACGTGCAAACTCCACACAGACAGTCACGCGAGGGTGGAATCAAACCCGGGTCCCTGGCGCTGTGAGGCAGCGGTGCTAACCACTGAGCCACTGTGCCGCCCATAATAGCCCTGCATGTCTCATCCATCTGAGCGCCCTACCATCCGCATGTCCCTGATTGTAATGAGGTGCCTGTACAGCTTGCAAAACAAAACTTTTCACTGTATTTAGGTACAGGCAACTACAATAAATCAAACCACGGCGAGAGTCTGGCAGATGGAGTACAACGTTGGTAAGCGTGAGGTCATCCATTTTGGTCAGAAAGACAGCAAAACGGGCCGTTATTTAAACGGTGAAAAATTGCAGCGCACTGCAGCGCAGAGGGACCTGGGTGACCTTGTGCATGAATCACAAAAAAAGTTGGTTGGCAGGTGCAGCAAGTAATGAAGAAGGCAAATGGAATATTGTCCGTCATTGCTAGAGGGATGGAGTTTAAAAACCAGGGACGTGATGCCGTTGAGGCCACACCCGCAGTACCGTGTACAGTTTTGCTCTCCTCACTCGAGAAAGGATGTACTGGCCCTGGAGGGGGTGCACTAGGTCGATTCCGGATTTGAGAGGCTTGGCTTATGAGGAGAGATTGAATAGACTGAAATGTAGAAGAATGAGGGGGAGGAATCTTACAGAAACATGCAGAATTACAAAGGGAATAGATAAGATCGAAGCAGGGAGGTTGTTCCCGCTGGCAGGTGAAACTAGAACCAGGGGGGCTCAAAATAACGGGGAGTAGATTTCAGACTGAGTTGAGGAGGAACTCCTTCACCCAAAGGGTTGGGAATCTGCGGAATTCCCTGCCCAGGGAAGCAGCTGAGGCTTCCTCGTTGAATGTTCTTAAGGCAGAGATAGATTTTTGTTCAGTGACAGGATGGCGATGGAGCTGAGTCCACACAAGGATCAGCCTCGGTCTTATTGAATGGTGGAGCGGGTCCAGATCGCCGACTCCTGCTCCTATTTCTCACGTTGTCTCTCATTCTTCTCAACTCCAAAGAGTAACAGCCCCAAATTACTCAACCTCTCCTCGCAAGACAGTCCCTCCACCCCGCCTGGGATTTGAGCCTGTCGTGGCATTCGATGAGATCAGGTGTCACCCGAGGCCTAACACCTCGGCTTAACCCAAACCATTTTTTTCCCTCGGTCTCAGAGGATTTAAAATTGATTCGGCGTCCACTGCCGTTTGTGGGAGAGAGTTCCCAACATCTACCACCCTTTGTGCGCAAAAGTGCTTCCTAACATGTCTCCCGAAGGGGCTGGTCTTAATTTTTAGGCTACGTCCCCCAGCTCTCGAATCTCCGCCCCGTCTTTTCCTGTTAACATCTTGGAAACTTTGATCACCCCTTAAACCTTCTTAATTCTAGAGAAAACAGGCCTCATTTGTATAATCTCTCCTCAGAACTTAACCTCTGGAGTCCAGATATGACTCTTGTAAATCTTTGTACTCCCTCCAGGGCTAATGTACCCTTCCAATTGCGTGGCCCCCAAATCTGCTCGCAGGTCAGGTCCAACCACGTGTTTGTATAACTGGAGGGCTCTCGATATATAGTCTGGTGAACCTTCTCTAGACTGCCTCCAATGCCAGTACATTTTTCGGGCCGCAAAACTGTTTGCAATATTCCAGCCATGGTCTGAGTAATGCCTTGTACAGTTTCAGCGAAACCTCCCGAGTTTTACACCCTATTCCCTTCGAGTAAACCCACTGAAACTGGACGCTAGATTTACATGTTTCACAGGCATGGAGTCCCCAGATCCCTCTGTTCCGTGGATTTCTGCACGCTTTCTCCAATTCAATAACATTCAGCTCCTCTGTGCTTCTCGCCAAAGTGCATTACCTCACATCTGCGCACCCAAAACCCCCCCCCACATTAACATCATTACAGAGATAGTAGGAACTGCCGATGCTGGAGAATCTGAGATAACAAGGTGTAGAGCTGGATGAACACAGCAGGCCAAGCAGCATCAGAGGAGCAGGAAAGCGGACGTTTCGGGTTGAGACCCTTCTTCAGAAGACCCCCCCCCACCCCCCCCACATTATCTTCCATCTGCTAAGCTTTTGCCTGCTCGATTAACCAGAAACACATTTTGTTTTTCCACAGAGAAGGTGGCTCGTACGAGCTGCCAGAGGAAACGGTGGAGGCAGCTACAGTTACAACATTCAAGAGACATTTGGATGGGTACATGGATGGGAAGGGTTTAGAGGGATATCGGCCAAATGCAGGCAGATGGGACTAGCTTGGTTTGGGGAAATGTGGCCGGCACGGACTAATCGGACCGAACGGCCCGATTCCACACTGAACGACTCTATCTGTATCCCCCTGCAGGCTCATTATGCCTTCCTCACTGGTGACCCTAGCACCGATCTCTGTGGAACTGCTTTAATTATACAGTTAGAGCTGTACAGCACGGAAACAGATCCTTCGGTCCAACTCGTCCGTGCTGACCAGCTATCCTAAATTGATCCTAGTTCTCCATTTCTCCCCCTTGGTCCAGGAACTCCCTACCTATGTCCGTGACACCACCCACGCCCTCCACCTCCTCCAGAACTTCCAATTCCCCGGTCCCCAACACCTCATCTTTACCATGGACGTCCAGTCC